ACGCTTATATATTTTTTACAACTTTTACACCTGTAACATTACGTTGTGCCGCTGAAACAAGCAATTCTGATAATTATCATGTCTCTCTTTCTCTCTCTCTTTCCTTGTTCACGTCTCTCTACTTTCACCTGGAACTCCGCAAATGGTTACATCCGCCAACCTGAGAGAGCTATGCCCTATTTACGATAATTTATTGAACCAGAGAGACGAACCGCGCGCGAATTTTCTTATGCGATTATATTTTGTCCAATATTTATAGCGTCAATTATTACACAAATTCTAAGAAAAATATAGATGGATTAAGTAAAAATAGAAATCAAAATTTTTTCATTATTTTAAATCAAACAAGATGGTCTTATAAATTATTGAATATGTTGAAAACGATGCCGCAAGCCAATTTTCATCAGCACGTCAGATTTTTTTCGAAATAATTGAGGTTTAATATGCAAAAATGGCTTTCTTTGCGATGTATATAAGATTTTTTATGAAAAAGGGATAAGATTTTTCATGCAAATTCTAATCAGAATGTATTGTTCTTTAACAAAATGCATTTTTTAATTTCATTATCTTACTTTTTAGCCATATCAAGAAAGATTAAAGCTAGGAATTACTCATTTGGAGACATTCCTGTATAATATGTTTATGATATTTGATCAGACTTTTCAGATAACGTTAACCTTTTTCATCAAAATATCACAAAAAGTTATTTTTTTACAAACCTCAATTATTTTGGAAATCTAACATAGTAAACGTTGATTTATTGCATTATAGACATTATAGATAAAGTAGTGAGACACTCTTATAACATATCAAACAATATATAAAAAGAAAACCTTAATTGTGTCTTAAAAGATGTCTCGTCAGTAATAATGAATGTCATCTTAAAGAGAATTTTCATTTGAAAAAGACCTAAACCAGAGGTCGAAACGTAAGGAGATATTTAATTTAATTTAATAAAAAATTTGTTGCCCAGTATTAGTCGTTTTTTAATGTTAAATACATACTTTTTCGTTTTTTATTTCTTACTGGCGAATTCATTACATACACTTAATCAATTAAGACATATATATCCAAAAAAAGTTTTGTTAAAATTTTTTTTTTTTTAATATTAATGTGATTAAACAGATATTAATGTATTAAAAATATGTATTATATATTATGTATTATTATATATTATGTATTATTATTATTTATTAACATATATTAATGTGTTTAACCGTGGTTCTCACCATGAAACTTTTGTATAAAGTATTTTTTAATATTCCAAATACTTTTCAAAAAATATATCAAGAAAAATTAAAAGTTGTTCTATATGTATATACATATAAGGAGTAATTTAACACCTTAGAATTGTTTTGGGCCGCACTAAAAGTTTTTAATTTAATATACATATTTATCCTTGTTATATACATACACATATAAAATTTCACAAAATCAGATGTTTCGGATTTGTGAGGTTCTCTAATCTCTTGTCAGTTGAATTTGAAACCACTTGAGGGAAGCATGATGAACTAATTATTTGTTAAGACAATGAATATTAAAAATAAAGCAATTTAGGACCGCAAAATCCATGAAAACAAACCCAAAATTATATTGTATATCCATTTGAGGAAGAATCGCTCTTCATATTTCTACAAATTATTTCTTTTTAAGAACTTTTTAGGAATTTTTGTCTGACAATGAATTATAATTGTCTCATTATGATTGCTTCGAATTAGAAAGTTTTCAAACGTGTCGAATTTATTCTACTCGTGTTAAAATGATTTTTTGCACTACAGGCATCTTTAATTTTACGATGCACACGCATATCTTTATACTTTACAATATTTTCCAACTTAGCACAGTGGAGTTACAACCTGTTAAAACGAAAGAGTAAGTGTATAAAGTAATAAATAAAAAAACACCCCAGCAAACATTAAGTAATAATTATATTACTGTTAGTTATAATTTCCTACACAACAATGTAAATGCGATATAACACACGTATAAAAACACACGTATAAAAACACACGTATAAAAACATACGTATAAAAACACACGTATAAAAACACACGTGTTATATTGCATTTATATTATTGAATGGGAAATTATAACTAAGAATAATATAATTGTTCCTTGATGTTTGCTGGGACGCTTTAAAATTTGGAATAAAATTATTAATCTGTCTAGGGAAAAAATTTTTTTTAAATGTTAAAGACAAAAAAATTATAAAAATATAAAGAGCTTATATATATAGTCCCAAATAAATAAATATGAAGATTTAGATTTGCATTTATTGATTTTATACTTATTATTTTATAATTATTGATCTCTATTTTATACTTATTTTATATTTATTGATCTTGGATGGTCATTTTTAATATTATTAAAATATTATTAAAGAATATCTAATGTCAAAAGAAAATTTGAATTATTTATTTATATTACCAATATAATATTAAAATAATATTTTATATAATTGCATTTTTAAGAAATAAAAAACTATATTTACTTTGCACTAATTGATTCTTCTCGTTACTTTGTGCATAAAAGTAATAAGATAAAATCGACAAAAAAATGAATATTTTATGAAATATTTCATAGTTTGTGTAAAATTATATCAAATTAAAGTATATATTAACTTATAAACTATTTACTTTTTGACTATCTTATCTTCATAACCTTTGTTTCAGAATATTGCGTGAAATCGATTTATATTTAAAAAAATTAGGATGGTTCCATTTTAAAAAATATTAATGACCTTCAAATGATTTCGAAAAACGCCCTTTAGGTTAGCGCCACCTTTTTCCCCCTTGAAATCTTTTACTTGGAATTTTGTAACTTACGAAACATTTCTTTCGTATTTTCCGTATTTTTCGAAATATTTGCCTAGGTAAATTAAAATAAAATACTCTGCATAAAGTATGTAAAAAATCATAAAAGTTTTTTCTAAAATACTTTTTTATTTCATCGTTTCGATGATAATTATTTAAAATTAGATATATGATAACTAAAGTTTCGCAAGGGGGCTAAAAATCGGACTTTTTTACATTCTCCTTTCTTAAAGATGTCTGAAAGATTTCTTAATAATATTTTATGCGCTAGTTTTACACATGGTGCTGTCTGGAAAGTGTCACAATTATCTGGAATTGATTCGGTTTTCTTGAAATATATTGTAAACATAAAAATCTAAGGAAGTAACTTTTCTATGTGTATAATTTGAAATTTAAGGAGTGAGACTCTTCAATTCTTATGTTAACGCTTAAGTGCCAGCAAACACCAAGTAACTATTATATAACTGTTAATTATAATTTCCTCAACAATGTAAATGTAATATAACACACGTGTGTTATAAAAACTCTTTTAATAAATTAAGATCGCCAGTAATGATTAAAAACTTTAAATTTTATTCAAAATCGACCCAACTGGCAAAATTACAAAATAATTGCATGACGTTTCGGCCCTTCATAGTTTCGTCAGTGGGCAGTCCAACTTACAATTTAGCACTTTACCTACATGAAATTTTACGTGTATCTTTACCGAAACCTGCATCTTTTGTTAAGGATAGTTGGACTTTTGCGAAAATGATTAGACAAACGAGGATTAGTGCAAATGATATGTTATTTTTGTTTGATGTTATTTTTTTATTTACAAACATCCCTAAAGATTTAGCTTTGAAAGCAATTGAAACTAGATGGTATTTTATCACTCCATACACTGACTTGACTTTACAACAATTCTTACACGCCTTGACTGTTGTTTTTGACTTGACAAGTTTTCGGGGTTTGACGGAGAGTATTATGAACAGATCTACGGATGTCCAATAGGGTCTCCCTTATCACCAATCATAGCTAATATGGTTATAGATGACCTTGAGAGTCATTGTATGAATAATTTAGACTTTATTATTCTAGTCTATTTTAGATATGTAGACGACATATTCTTAATAACTACTGAGACAGAAATGAAAGTAATTTTAGAAATGATTTCCAAAATTTCAATGGTTATTATAAACGCCTCAAATTCACGCTGGAAATTGAGAAGAGTGAGTCCTTGAATTTTTTGGATGTGACAGTGATAAATGATGGTGGTAAATTATATACAAATTTGTACAGGAAACCTACATTTCGACATCTTAATTTCCACTCAAACCACTCATTTAATTATAAGATTAACACCATCAAAAGTTTGGTAGATAGGGCAATTTTGTTATCAGATGTTGGGTTCCATGAAAATAATATAAAAATTGTTAAAGAGATCTTGGTCAACCGCCGCTAAAACTATATTATAAAATGAGAAGAATAAATTATGCTATGTTGTATAGTTACAATTTATTTAGTGTATATTTTTTATCTTTCTTTGCAAGACTAACATTCATTCAGAAAATTTGGTAATATACAAAATCTTTTATTATGAGGAAAAGTCATTATTTTTAAAATAATGACTATAGCATTTAGACTTATAAAGTCTTGATGGTCCGCAGCTACTGTGACATTATCGTAATATTTAATATAAAATTTTCTCCGTGTAGGATTACATTATTCAAATATTTTATTAAAATGAGTTTGAGCGGTCTTTTTCAGATACACTAATTACAAATCTATTTATTAAATGAGAAATCTAGCATAGCGGATTCAAGATGTCCGATACAAAATATTTTGTATTGTCCGGATAAAATCAGGTTATTCACTTATTTTAGAGAAGAAAAAGAAATACAAGGTCTTTTAAGATTTTTTATAGCGCACTGCCAGAATAAAAAAAAGTTTACGAAGAAAAAAATAGCGACAATACAAGCTGGTGAAAGTTAAATTGTAAATACAATTAAGTAGTAGGTAAAGATCCTGTATTTATTTTTCTTCTATAAAATAAGTAAACAACCTGATTTTATCCAGGGTGTGCAAAAATGATGTTTTATCGATAAAAACGATGGCTTTAGGATTTCTTTAATATTTCAAAATTATTTCTCTTTATTTTTCAAACTTTATCATGACTATGCTTAATGTAAATTTTATTTGTCGCAGAGATACGTAGACTGCACAGTATTGAATGCAAGCAGTATGCCAGACGCTGAAGATTCCTCATATGACAGTGATTACGAAGCTGAAGATTTAACAACGACAACAATGACGCCAATGATGACAACGACAACGATTGCACGCAGTTCAGAATCTCAAGTATCTCCAGCAGCACATACAGAGATTTCTCGCACTGCATCTGATACTCTAGCAACTGAGTTTGCAGAGTATGTCACTGTAGAGGAATCTTCGTCTATACAGAACCCTGGTAAGTTTTTCCTTTAAGATTTTCTTCTGAAATTGGAAATATGTATATTAGGGAACTTATCCTCAATTTCAATAGTCTTGACATATATAAATTTTGAATAATCGAAGAATTTTAGTTATCGCGTATTTTGTTTATTTAAGAGTTATTAACAATTAACAATTTACCTGCGCCTAATATATTTCTCATTCATATACAAAAAAAATTATAAAAAAAATAAAAAAGATCATAAAAGAAAAATTTTATATTTTTTAATAACACAAAAAATATCTATCTAGGTTACACCGCTCGCGTAGAGTTTGCTCTAAAACTAGGCTATACCGAAAAATTGGTACAAGCAGCTTTGCAGAAATTAGGTCCGGACCCTAGTCAAAACGAGCTATTAGCCGAGTTAATCAAGCTCGGAGCTGCTTGTATCCCGAAATTTACCGATTGTCCCGAGGAAGCTGATAATTTACTAGAGACTGAAACGGAAAACGACGAAGGCGAAGGGTCGATTTTGCCTTCAACGACGGTAATGAATAGAATCTTATCGACGGATTTAAGATCTATTGTCATCGATGGCAGCAATGTCGCTATGAGTCACGGCAACAAAGAGATATTTTCCTGTCGTGGCATCAAAATCTGTGTTGACTGGTTCCGTGCTAGAGGCCACAAGGAGATCACAGTCTTCGTTCCCAAGTGGCGGAAAGAAGCCTCTAGACTCGACAATCCGGTTGCCGACCAGGAAATTTTAAGCGAACTCGAGAGAGATCGTTTACTGGTGTTCACACCCTCTAGGTTAGTGGGACAATTGTATGAAATTTGTTCGAATTTGTTGTGAATAATATATTTTATAGTTCTCTCTCTCAATCTGTGTGTGTATTGGATTCGTAGATTGGTAGGTGGAAAACGTATGGTGTGTTACGATGATCGATACATCTTGAAGCTGGCCGCGGAAGTCGATGGCATTGTTGTCAGCAATGATAACTACCGGGACTTGGCACAGGAAAACCCTGAGTTTAGAAGGGTTGTCGAAGGGAGAATCCTTATGTACAGTTTTGTAAATGATCGATTCATGCCACCAGACGATCCACTCGGTAGGAGTGGACCTACGCTGGAGAATTTTCTCAGGATCGCTCCCAAAAAGGTCGATTCGGCACCTCCATGTCCTTACGCCAAAGTAATTTTTTCCCTTGTTTTAGTCATTTTCATTATATTTTGCAAAACTTTAAATTAAAGAGAAGACAGCGTGTACATATTGTGACACCGTCTCTTATTTCTAAAAGATACAGAACTTGGGGACAAATGATCCTAAGACCTAGAAAAAGCAAGGGTGTTGGATCTAATGAGCCTAATGCGAGGCTCTAGGATCCAAACATCTAGCTAACTGCAAGAGTGAGAAGAGATAATGGATCTAAATAAAATAAAATTATATTATTAAACATTTTTAAATAAAATACACTTGTAAACTTAAATTATATTTGTTTAAATAAAATAGACTTGTAAACTTAAATTATATTTGTTTAAATAAAATAGACTTGTAAACTTAAAATTATTCGCTTTTTAAATTTTTAGAAATGCACTTATGGCAATAAGTGCAAGTTCTGGCATCCCGAAAGAGGACCACATCCACATAAATCCGTGACGGAGCGATTAGTGGAACATGCTCAACGTCACTTACAAGCTCGTGGGCCCAGTCTAAGTCTACCACTACCGTCCAAAACCACATCTATATCATCTCCACAACATCCATCTCTCTGTAAAGCCAGATCTGCTATACCGCCGACAGTCATTCAATCTTTGTCGCCCGTTCCAAAGAGCAGATCAGTGGAGAACGTCACATCTGACTTGTTCTCAACTAGTCCGGTTTTATACAGCCAACAGATGCCTCTTGCACAGAATATTCAAAGTAATAATTTCAAAAAATAACGTTACAAATAGTTTATAAATTGTATGATAAAAATTTTAAAAAGTTGTTCAATCTAAAATAATTAAAATAATTTGTATGTGTATGTATTTTTTTTTATTAAAGCCTATCCACCTACAGTGAATTGGGCTACATCAAGGGTGAGCAATCCCGAGCCAGAACCAGCGAATATGCATCGCAAATTGCAGCGACAATTGACCCTGAACCCAGTATGCGACCCGCGACTTTATCAACTCAGGCGACATCAACAGCAGCAGCAGCAGCAGCAGCAACAACAACAGCAACAACAGCAGCAGCAAGCTGATCAATTGCAACAATCAGTTATCAGTCCTTCGCGCTCCAATGTGCAACATCGATCATTGACGAGACATACTAGTAATGAGCCGTCATATCCAATTACTACCATGAGGTGTGTGAGTTCGATTTATTTAAATACTATCTACAACGCGTGTTTTGCCTAAATAATTAACATATTATATCATTGAATATTGTGTGTGTGTCTCCTTTCCTTCTTTCTCTTTTCTCTTTAATGCATGTGTCAAAACATTTAAAAGTGATAATTTTTTAATCTGCTTTATCAATAACTACAGATTCATTCGCGACTGCTAATGCTAACTGATGAATCTGTAGGTAAAAATAGATTGATTTATAAAAACAGAGTGAAGGAAATAAAAGATGAAATAATATGTAAAAAGGAAGTCAAGATAACGATTAAAGTAATTTGAGACGAATTGTGAGATAGTGTTAGAAAAAATGAGGGAAGAGCTTGGGGACCATTGAGAGAAGTAAAAAGAAATTATAGTAAAGCAATTAAAGAGAAGAAAATGTTAAACGAGATATAACAGGAAATTGAAGCTATTAAAAAATTGATGAAAGAAAAGATTCAGATATCAAAAATATGGCTACGGCAGTACCAAGTTAAAAAAGAAAAGCAGGGGAATAGTGATTTTGAGTTGTGAGACTGAAAAAGAAATGAAAAAGTATTAAGGTGATGTTGGAATCTATTCTATTTTACCGACAAAATGTTAATTTGTAGTTTTGTGTTTATTTTTTATTGCTTTTATAAAATTAAGAATTCTTTTCAGGGATTGATGTTAATAAAGGTATAGATGGTCATTTTTGATTAAAAAAATTTTTTTTTTTAATTTACCGACAAGCTGTCAGTTGATATAAAAATTTATTTTATATTAAAGTTATACAGTTTAAAAGTACAAAATAAGCTCAGGAGGGCAAGGAGGGCATATGAAAGAATGACAGGAAACCTTTTGAAATTAAGTTTAGAGGTTTAGCCTTAAAAAAATAACAAAAAGTCAGATTTATGTAAAACATATACAATATTGAAGTAATAACATAAAAAGGAGCAATAAATAAGTTCCCGAATATTGTACATAAAATTTTTAGTATATATACATATATATATAAACAAAAAATAAAAATAAAATTACAAGCAATAATTTATCGATAAAATTTTTACAGACAGTCAGCTCCAGCATCACCTTAAAGGCTATATAGTACAAACCGAACTGGGCGAGAATTTTAAAATTACTGCGAGTTATGGCAAATGAAATCTTAATATATAAAAACAAGTGTCCTGACTGACTCACTCATCAGTGCCCAGCTCAAACCTTTAGACCTAGAAAGTTGAAATTTGGGGAGCGTATACCTTACATGGCGTAGGGGCACACTAAGAACGGATTTTGCTTCAATCAATCCCTAAAAAAGTGACAAGGGAAAAAATATGTGTTTATGGATTTCTTAATATCTCCGAAGCCTGATAAGATGTAGATTTTGCTCTTGCTTATAACAGTTACTCATACAAATACCTAAAAATCAATTTCTGTATTTTATCCCAATCATCCCCTAAGGGGTGAAAAGGGAAAAATGTGTTTTTACAAATTTCTCAATATTTCCGAAGCCTGATGAAATATATATCTCATTATTGCTTACAAAGGTTACCCATACCTAAAAATAAATTTCTGCATTTTACCCTAATCATCTTTTATGTCCGGTCTGGTTGTCGCCTCAACCATCGTGTGCAGGTAAACCGAATAGGAAAGTCCTCTACCGTTTTGCGATTTTCGCAATAATTATTGAGTTATTAAATAAAAAAAATCGGCCAATCCACGCGAATAGAAGCGCGCGACGAGAAGAGACGTCCTACCGTAACACGATACACGGCGCGCCGCAAAGCGGAAGGAGGAGCGAACGATGACTGTCTACGAATCGTGTTCGAAAAATCTTCGTGTATCGTGTTAGTAGGACGTCTCTTCTTGTCGCGCGCTTCTATTCGCGTAGATTGGCCGATCTTTCTTATTTGATAATTCAATTATATATATATATACATATATATATATATAATTGAATTATCAATTATATATATATATATATATATATATATATATATATTTATATATAGAGTTGAACTGTTCAAAATGAGGTGTCTTGTTAGACTGTTGGTTTCCTTTTTTTATAATATTTTTAATTAAAAAAAAACTGGTGTTAAAGCTGTGAGAAGAAGCGACATAAATGCCTATAAATATTAAGAATTTCTCGCTTAAAAACGAAAAAATAATTTACGAGGTCCGACTAACATTATAAAATCACATCACGGCAAATACTTATATAAATTAAATATGACAAATTGTAACACGCATAAATTTCTTATAAATTCTCGACTCGAAGTAACGGACTATTAGTAATTTTTAAGAATATTATGATTTATTTTTTTGTAAGAATTATAAAGTACTTAACATTGTTATACTGAGGAAGACCGCGTGCGGTTGAAACGTTTATATGGAAGTTTTTTATATTTTTAATATATTGTTTATTGTCTGAGATATATATGGAATAAATTTTAATTAGATACATCTTAAATATTGCTCGATAAGTTGGCCTTTTTGAATACATTTGTTGTTTTATACTAGGATTGTATCTTTCGCCAAATCGTCATTATTTTGTTAATATGTTAAAAATAGATTACATTTATAATTATATTAATAATAGAAATTCTAATATTTAATTATTATTTAATAAAAATAAAAATTAAGAAATTATTACAAACGGCCCAACTGGCTTCGAAGATCTTTATTAATTCAGTATTATAGAAATTTATTTCAGACTACGTTTCGATCTTTCGTTTACGTTCTTTTCAAGATTAAAAATTAAATAACCAAATTACAAAAATATATCAGGAAATCATTTTATGGTAACAGCGTAATACAAGCGTAAACCAAGTCCAACAAAAATTATTACAAAACAGTTCATCTAAAACATATATAAAAATAAAAATTATGTAATTAAAAATAACAATTTGGCGGAAAGTATAATCCCAGCATACTTTTTGTATACTGACAAGTAAAGGTACGTACCCAACTGTCAGTCACTGTGAGAAACAGCTCTCTCTTAAATAAATCCCTGCCACTTTTAAAGACAATCCTTAGGACTTATTTATTGTCATAGCAAAGTAGAATTTTAATGGGAACTGCAACCTTTTAAATTCAAACGGGTAGTCTAATGGTGTAAGTAATACTCTAAAAACTCACCTTTAAAAAAAGGTAAAAAAAGGCGACCAGTTAAGGGCACGCCATTAACAAAAATTATCCATTGCAAACCCATGTAGAATCCTATCCTATTGCAAACCCATGTAGAATCCTATGAAAAATTAATCATTGCAAACCCATGTAGAATCCTAGGCAAAATTAACCATTGCAAACCCATGTAGAATCGTACCCATTGCAAACCTATGTAGAATCCTATGAAAAATTAACCATTGCAAACTCATGTAGAATCCTATGAAAAATTAACCATTGCAAACCCATGTAGAATTGTATTAAAAATTATCCATTGCAAACTTATGTAGAATCCTACATTGCAAACCCATGTACAATAGAATTGTATGAAAAATTATCGATTATAAACCCATGTACAATCGTAACAAAAGTAATGAAATAAAAAAAAAATTGCGCCAAGTGAAAGTAGAAACTTGTACCAGTGGAAAATTAAAGTTGCAGACATATATAGAGTCGTATAATGAATCAGTAAAAATTTAAATTTGCAAATGTAGAATCGTACCATAAAAAAACTTATCTTTTAAAAAAAAGATAAACAAGATGCCAAGTCCATGCGCCATGTGAAAAAGAAATAAAAAAATTTTAGTTAAAAAAACTGGGAGCGCTGCTAAATAATATTCTAACAATATTAAAATTAAATTGTTACTTTTAAACTCATTACAGTTAAAATATGTTTTGTGTTTAAATTAATTAATGTTACTTTAATGCATTGTAATTTTGAAACTTAGCAGCGCTCCCAGTTTTTTTAACTAAAATTTTTTTATTTCTTTTTCACATGGCGCATGGACTTGGCATCTTGTTTATCTTTTTTTTTAAAAGATAAGTTTTTTTATGGTACGATTCTACATTTGCAAATTTAAATTTTTACTGATTCATTATACGACTCTATATATGTCTGCAACTTTAATTTTCCACTGGTACAAGTTTCTACTTTCACTTGGCGCAATTTTTTTTTTATTTCATTACTTTTGTTACGATTGTACATGGGTTTATAATCGATAATTTTTCATACAATTCTATTGTACATGGGTTTGCAATGTAGGATTCTACATAAGTTTGCAATGGATAATTTTTAATACAATTCTACATGGGTTTGCAATGGTTAATTTTTCATAGGATTCTACATGAGTTTGCAATGGTTAATTTTTCATAGGATTCTACATAGGTTTGCAATGGGTACGATTCTACATGGGTTTGCAATGGTTAATTTTGCCTAGGATTCTACATGGGTTTGCAATGATTAATTTTTCATAGGATTCTACATGGGTTTGCAATAGGATAGGATTCTACATGGGTTTGCAATGGATAATTTTTGTTAATGGCGTGCCCTTAACTGGTCGCCTTTTTTTACCTTTTTTTAAAGGTGAGTTTTTAGAGATTATATCATTCATTTTTGTATATTTTTATGACCGGAATAGAACAATTATTAAACATGTTTATCTAAACTTCTTTGCTTAAAATGATGTGTACAATCATATCCTAGAATCCTGATCATTCCTCCTAAAGCACCCTATTTATATAAATTTACCCATATGTGTGTGTGTGTGTGTGTGTGTGTGTGTGTGTGTGTGTGTGTGTACTAATGTCGAGCATTTTTTATACATTTTCTATTAAATTTAGATAAAAGTTGCAGGATTTCGAAAAAGAAAAAGTTGACACAGACTTTTTCCTAAACGGCGATTTTCAAGGTTATTTAAAGGTCACTTATATTTTCAAAATAGAATTACCTTAATTTTTCTCATATAAATCGATTCCTCGCAATATTTACTATAAAAAGTTGTAAAGGTATAATTTTTACATAATCTTACATAAACTTCGAAATATTACAAATATTTTATTTTATGAAATATTTCAGTTTATGTAAAATTATGTTAACTATCTTTTAAATTATTCACTTTTAGCCATCTTACCCTTACAACCTTTTATAGTGAATATTGCAACAAATTGGTTTATATATATAATATATATATAACATCAGTTATTATTAATTGATGTTTACATTTATTTTTAGACTTACTAGAGCTCAAATGCTCCACATTTTTTGCAAAAACTGTTTATTCTACAGATTTCAAATATGCTTTTAAATGATGATTGAATATTTCCTTTTTTTAATTATTTTTATTATTATTTTTCAATCTCAATCAACTTTTATAACTTTATGCCAGCACGATACAAATACATGTGTCTTTATTTTTTTTATTATTTTCATTATTATTTTTCAATCTCAATCAACTTCTATAACCTTATGCCAGCAGGATACAAATACATGTATGTCTTTATTATTGTATCAACTCTTGTCTTTTCCATGTAACCATGTCTTCATAGTTTGAATTATCCCTTCATCTTCTCAATCTTTCGCAGAGATTTAATTAATTAAATACACTTCACACGAAATAAAGTTTGCTGGAAGATATACAGCAAACGATAACTGTAAAAACATGATTACGTGGAAAGAACAAGAGTTGGTACAGTAAAGGCAAGTAAGTAAGTACATGTAATGTATCGTATTGGCATAACGCTATATCCGCGGAGCAGATAATGTGGCTGTAGAGGTAGTCTGCAGTGCAGCTAATGTGGACGTAGATGTTGATTGAGATAATTGTCTAATATAAAATAGAATTTAAAAATTTAGTTTAAAAAGCTGTTGCATATATAAATAAAGTTTATTTTTTCTAAATTTGGAATATGTTTAATTAATTAATTTTTTAAGTCTATGTTTAATAAATTTTTTAAGTCTGTATTCAATAATTTTATTCATTTGATAAATACATGTATGTCTTTATTTTGATATGTTTAATATAATTAGAAATTCATTATTAATTAGATATGTAAACTATAAATTCATATATAATATTTGAAAATATATGTGAATATTTAAATTTTTATCTTCTCCTTCCTCTCCTTCAATCTCTTTAATATCAATATGTGTATGTGTGTACACGCGCGCACATTTGTACGTATTTATTTAATTATTGGATAGTTGAGAGTACTTAATTGATAAAAAATTATGACAATAATAATCCTTGTTTTTTTTTCTTATTATTTACTCAGATTTTTTTGTCTATCTTATAAGATAAACACTTTAGAGATTGAATATTTCAAGTAAACTAATTGTAAGTAAATTTCACATTAATGCATATAGATGTTTAATCATGAATGTACTAAATAAGTACACAAGACGAACAGTGAGTGAGTGAGTGAGAATGAGAGAGTGTGTGTGTGTGTGCGTGTGTGTGTGAGAAAGAGAGAGAGAGAGAGAGAGAGAGAGAGAGAGAGAGTTAGCCAACATAACCCCGCACGCTGCCGATCATGAATGTACTAAATAAGTACACAAGACGAACAGTGAGTGAGTGAGTGAGAATGAGAGAGTGTGTGTGTGTGTGCGTGTGTGTGTGTGAGAAAGAGAGAGAGAGAGAGAGAGAGAGAGAGAGAGAGAGAGTTAGCCAACATAACCCCGCACGCTGCCGATATGGCGGAGCGCCACTATCGCCATCTGTTGTAAAACGTGCGAGATGGACAA